CTTGGAGACGCGGCCTGAAGACTAATGAAAAAGTTTTTAAAAAAGTCATGTTTTTTCCCCTCTCACGTGTTGGGATTGCAGTCTATGAAATTAAGAAGGTTAGGTAGTCATAGTAGCGATTATAGTTTTGAAGTTCTCTGAGATTTCTGTGAAACTTTCTCACTGTAAGAGTTCATATTACATGTTCGCAATGACATGAGAAGTTTTGTGGCTCTATGCTGAGCTTTTTTCATTGCATTGATAACTTCTGCAAAGTACAGGGACCAGCTACAGTGCCCGAATTCTAAGATTGGTCTGGTAAATGTATAAACTGTAATGATCTGGCGACGTACATAATATAGTTTAAAAGGAAACACGTTGATGCGCCAATTTATGTAGTGATCCGGCCGTTCAGCCACGTTGGGCCGCCAAGTTTACGTAGTGTGACGTCGTGCCAATGGGCCAGATAGACCACACATGTCGGAAGGCCAGCGAGGGAGCGGGGGCAGTCCTTTGGCGGCTAGGGGAAGGCCACCAGAGGCGGGCCCTCCTCAAGGGCCGAGGTGGGCGTGTCTCGGAACGCGGGTGTCAACTGGGCGCAGAGGGAGATGATGGGTGAGTCCAGCAGGCTCAGGCAGCGGTGCAGCTGGCTCTAAATTGAAAACAAGCCCACGTTTCGGGATGAGAGGACGCCGCCGGCATGGGAGGTCGGTCACGTGACCCCTCGCGAGGCGGCTGGAGAGTAACCAGCCGTGGTCATTCGTTGTCGAACGTGCGATAGGCACTTTTCACCCGCCAGGGGTTATTGCGAGCTTCGGTTGGAGGTGTGGCGGTTGCCACGGGACGAGAGACCAGGAGCGGCGCCAAGCCGCTGGGGTCTGCGTCAGACTGAGGCGGGCATGCCTCAGAGATATGCAGTGCTGGGAGTGCAGCGCTAGTTTCCGAGGAGTGTAGATAGTGTATAAAAACTTGTGAATAAATCTGTACAAAACAACCCCGTATGTGTTACTCGCACCCGACCTCACACATAATATTTTTAATATGGGACAGAGGCCAAGGACATAAGGGGAGGTTTTGGCGCGTTATATGCTGTAGGCCTCGCCCGAAATAATGCCGGCTGGAGAGATTCTGGGTCGAGGTACGATGCTAATTCAAAGATAATTACACGTATTAATATAAAAGGATCGCCAGAGTGACGTTGCGTATTTATTAAGAGATGAAGAAAAGAAAATCCCATGATGTACATACGTTTACATAGCATTCTGCAATTTTGACTGAACACATTATTGTCTTATTGTGGCCGACTGCCATTGCAATTTAAATCCTTTATTAATGGACAGCATCTTGGATAACGGAGTTGGTACATTACCTTGCCGTTGACACGACCCTACGGCAATGCCACTGGACGGGATATTCGGCCTACACTGCAAACCACGTCGCTGGCGCGTTGCAGGCAGCCTCTCGATTGATTCTCCACAGCAATGAATGACAGGCGAGGTTGCCGTGTACGTATAGACGCCGCCTTCCAGCCAGCAGGAGTCAGGCACGAACGGCGAATCGCCAAGCTCGATAACATGTTTTACGCTTTCAAGTGTATCGAGTGCCTCTTACACCCTTCCGGCCGTCGGACGTCCCGGAGCGTATATGCAACAAGCGTCGCGAAATGCGAGTTACCAATAGTTGGCACAGCTATTTCCTCTCTCCACCTCTCAATCTGTTCTCTTTGGAGTCTGAACCTGTTATACTCCGCCGTCTGCATCTTTTCTCTCGTCTCAAGTCACAATCATTCTCTCCCCTCCTAGTTCGGGTCTTTGCGGCCGCCACGTGCTCGCGAGCAATGTGGGTATCGTTAATTTAACTTTGTTCGGGAACATTCTACGAAAGTCGAGGGATTAGTGGACAGTTGTATCCCTCTCCCCTCTTCACTTAGTGACATGAGCACTACATTGGGTTTTTTGATTATGCCTTGGTCTATTGTAGAGCAAGGAGTGACTCGGAGTTCAACCCTTGCGCGTGACAAATCGCCTTGAAATATTGAGCTCAGTGGATATGGCTACTGGTCGGGTCAACTTTCGCTTAGCGAAGGTAGTATAGCCCTATTTGAAAAATGGGTGGGGGCGGCTGGTGTGCGCGCCCTGGCGGATTTGCGATGTGGGTCGAGAAAGGAGCTCTCCTCCGTTCGAGGGTGACAAAGGGGCACGGTTGGCTCCTAAGGATGATCTTAAGCGACACGTTGCAATTTGGAGGGGGAGGGGGACTGATGAACGCGTTCTAGCGCAGCTGCGTTGCAATATTTTCACGATTCGTGATGCATTGCAATATGTTGTAGAGTGCCTTTGGGTTGGAGATTTGAAGGTTTTCCTTACCAGATACAGACGTTTGTTTTCTTTATTTGTGGTCATTCGGAAGTGTGACTCCCACTTGAGATCTGTAGACACAATTACTCCAAGGTCGCCGTGGCTGTCGGACAGAGATATTGTTGGTATAAATTGTATATTATTTCTGTGGATTGTATCTTCCAGAATAAACAACATTTCTGTGGATTGATGTTTGGATCCTATTAACTTACCAGTTTTGCTGTGTGTCTAGGTACCAATCTAAGAGAAAAAAAGTCATGAAATGGTAAATTAAACAGTGTAATTCTATCGTATGAAACAATATTTTCTTGAATGTGTCCATGCATACGTAGTTAAAATTGCTTTGATTGAACTATCTGTAAGCTTGAATTTATCTTAAATGTCTTGTGTGTTACATTTAATTTGTGTTAACTGGCACATTATATTTAATTTTCACTTGCTTACAGATAGTCGAGGACGTGCATCATCAGAACTTGAATCACGTGGTGGTTGTAGTTTAAAATATTCAACCAATTTATCACGTTCTCGATCAGCACAATCCTTGAAGCTTCTGGGAGATTCAGCTACGCAAGATGATAAATTGACAATACTTGCTCAGCTCTTTTGGTTGGCGGTGTCACTTCTGGAATCAGATTATGAGCATGAATTTCTTTTGGCTTTACGTCTTCTTAGTCGAGTATTGCGTCGCTTACCTTTAGATCGCCCAGACGCACGTGATAAAGTTGACAAGCTCCAGGCACAATTGAAATGGAGCTCTTTTCCGGGTGTTCATGCCCTTCTACTAAAGGTACGTATTAAACAAACTATTCTTTACATATTTTCAAGTGTCAAAATAAAACAAATGTAACTAGCTCATATCGATATCATTTGAAAGTCATTAGAGAAACCGTATTAAGAAGATTTTGAACAGCAAAGATGAGCTTTTTTTTTAAAAAAAAAAAAATCAATCCACCGATTAATTTAATCAAACTGAATGTATATGAATCATTTTTATAAATATCAAACTTACCAAGTTGTTTGATGTTAATGTAAGAGAATGGTACAAACATTCTTGTATCGGTTAACTTGGAAATCTCATAGTAAATTTGCCCATAGGGAAATGTGATGCTTCTCTTTCCATTGCTCATAAAATAGTTTATACGAATATTGAGAGTATGCGTGATGCGTGATTATTCATTTCACTCACCGACAACAGTTTTGATCTTGGAGTACTTTTAGGCTTTTCGCTGCCAAACGCTTCAATAAAGAAGCACTCATTTCCAGAGATAGTATATGCTAATTTACTAATTGCTAGGAACGTTGACTACTATGCCAATACATTCCACT